CCCCGCCCAAATATTTTGTTAAAGTTCAAATATTTTGGGTGAGAAGGCAAAATAAACCTTCAGGTTATTTTCTTATTTTCTGTATGCAGAAATAAACCAGCTAGAAGCAGCACACTCTACTTACTGTACCTGTTGGAAATGTAAGGAGTTACTGCAAGGGTGAAATACTTCCGTGTGCAACACCTGAAGGGCAGGGATCTCCACACATTCCTGTGGGCTATGGAGCTCTGCCATTCCTCTGCAGGGGAGGAAGAATTAGAAGGGCTGTCTGCATCGTGGGGGGGGTGTGGGGGTGTGCACACTTCAGAGCTGCAGCCAGCAGCTGGAGGTTTGCAATGAAGGATGTTGCTGAATTTAGAGTATTTCTCAGTGGGGGGTTGTAACTGCTCACAGCATTGAGGGCTTGGGGAAAGACAGACATTAAAGACAGAGGGACAGGCAGCAAGGGCCCCTTTTCTGCACTCCCTCAGCCAGGAGCAGCAGGAAGCTGGTGGTTCTCACCCCTGCCTGCCTGCAAACCTATGGTGAGACATCCTGTGGATCCCAGGTGACTCTGCTGCCAATAAAGTGTCATAAAATTCAAATTAAAATCTGATTTCAGATCCTGATGTGGAAGTGAACTGCATCCCCCCCCCCCGCTCAAAAAGCCCCTCTCCAATGCAGCTCGAAGTCCTCCAATGAACCAGATTTTAATGACGATTATTTAACGTAGTGGTGCAGCAATCTGTTTTCCTAGCTCAGCCCACAGGCTGTATTTAGTGCAAACCAAACCCTCTCACACAGATGGCATCCGAAAAGTGAAAATAATCCAACTGTTAGTAGAGGCAAATATTCATCTCCCTTCATCAATGAGCCCTGGGTTGCCTGCTGAAGGGGCAGGGAGGGCAAGCAAGCAAGAGGGGCTTTGTGAGGAGGAAAACAGTTTGGCCTTTGTGAAACTGTTCAGTGAGAAATGAATTTGAAGAAAGAAACTAAATCAAGAGAAAATGATCCCAGGGGTATGTGTGCAAGGCAGACAACAAATCCTCCAACTTTCAGTAGCAATTAACTTGAAATCATACAGCATTTCATAAGCTCCCTCAGTTATACTGCAATCAAGGCAAAGGAAAGAGCCTGATATAGAACAAATATTTACATTGAGATTTTTATAGAGATGCCACTGTTTGGCTGACAGCAATGATGGCTGAAGTCAGTCTGAGTCTTTGGCCTCATGTCTTGCTCCTACGTAAGTCCCTTCTGTCTCTTGGCTTTCAGAAAGGAACAGTGCACAAAGGAATAAATCACGCTCCAGGAAAGCCATAATGGGCACATTCAGTCATGAAGAAGATGTAATTATGACTAAGTTTTACTGAAAATATTTGTCCTTATTTGTGATATTGAATATAGTCCTTTACCCAGCCTTTGAAGATAAGAGAGCAGCCTTGGGAGTGATGTCAGTGCCTGTCAGCTTGGAGCTGTGGGCTGGGTTTGACTGGGATAGAGTGAATTTTCTTCACAGTAGTTGGCCTCTCACACAGTTTCTGCCTCTCACCCCACCAGCGAGTTGTTTCAGGGTGCACAAGAAGTTGTGAGGGAGAGCAGACCATCACTGACACAAGGGGTATCCCACACCATACGGAGACACACAGCACACAAAGCTTGGGGAAGAAGAAGGAACAAGAGGACTTTGGGAGTAATGGTGTTTGTCTTCCCCAGTAACCATTACATGTGATGGAGCCCAGATTTCCTGGGGGTGGCTGAACACCTGCCTGCCAATGGGAAGCAGTGAATGAATGCCTTGTTTTGCTTTGCTTATTAAACTATATTTTTCTCGACCTATAAGTTTTGTCAGTTTTGCTCTTCTGATTCTCTCCCCCGTCCCACCGGCAGGGACTGAGTGAGCGGCTGTGGGGCTGAGGTGTCAGCTGGTGAGGGACAGCTTAATACCAAGTGGTGCTCCCCCATGGAGAGCTGGGACACGGTTTTGTGGGATTCACAGCAGAGAGAAGGCATCTGCACTCGGATTGTAATGTTTGATAGGGATGGGAGGTGCCCAAAGCTCCTACTGGCAGCACAGTCTCTATAGATATTCCTGTGTTTATTCCATACATTCATTAGACATATTATAATTACATCCTAAAATGTTTAACAGTTCATGTTATCTCTAGGTTTTCCTCACTGGGGATCATTACCCAGCTGTCCCAACTGCAAAGGGGTTTTCAAGTTGTTCCAGCCTGCAGGAGCCTTGATATGTTCTGCAGCCAGAACAAAGGTTCTCTTTTTGATGAATGAGGCTTCTTGAGTTTAATTTATGATCAAACAGAAGTTTTACACTGGGAATCCAAAATTCCTGGAAAGACTTTGTCTCGTGCAAGCCAGGTCTCAGATCATGGGAAAGAAACAAAGAGGCTCTTCAGAAACTGAAAACTCCCAGCAGCCCTGGCCAGGCGAGAGCACAGAGCAGGCAGGGTTCAGCTGAACAAAAAGTGTTAAGATCCCTCAGGTTTGGGTCCTTGGGAAGCCCTTCTCCAATGTATCGTGCTGGAGGCATCCTCACTTCTTGCAGACCCACGGTCTCCACTGCCCCACAGAGGGACCCCTCCCAGGCCACAGAAGGTCCCTGCTGCTGGGATGGAGCCTGGGCTGCTCCTCACCCACACAAGGATGGTTTTTACTGCCCTGGGTATATGAGTCCTTTAGCAGGGAAACCCCCAGAACCCACACCAGCAGCTTAAGGCAGGACTGCTACTTCTCTACAGCCTCCATCATCTCTGCTGGCTTGGTTTGTCCATCTGCACCTTCATCTGAAGAGGGCTCATGTCCTCTTCCTGGCCTTGGCACTGCTCCCCACTAACCCACAGAGAGGGCCCCGACACCTGTCTTCCTTGTCCACAGAACAAGAGACCTTTTAGTCCTGAGCAAGGCTCTGCCTACCTCCTTTTGCCTCCTTGGAGCCACCGACAGCAGTGAGCACACAGGAGAGCTGGCACAAGACCCCAGGAGATCCTGACTTGTTCATTCAGGGTCTGTACATCCCCCAGCACAGACTGATGGATCATGCACTGTGACTGAACCTGCAGCATTAGGGAAACGTTAAAAAATTATATATAAACCATAATCAAGCAAACATGCTGGGATGTGCTGTTTAACAAACTGGACAGAAGGATGGGGGTCATCTGGACCAGGGGTAGTCCCCTTTCTGCACCATGGCAAGTGAACCCAGTTCTTAAGCCCTTGGGCACAGCAACATCCATGTGCAGCACAGCCTCTCTCGTTTCAGTTTACATCCACATTTGTTTTGCTTTCCTGAAAGTTTGTGCATGAATGCACACAGACGTGAGCAATTCAAGCCGGAACACCATCCAGAGCTCCTGCTTCTTCCCCGCCACACGGGCGATGGGTGAAGAGAAGGAGGTGCCAAAGCCACCACTGATGGTATTTGGGCTGGGACACAGACACATCCTGTGCCTGGACATACAGATCACAGAATCAAAGAGCAGTTTTGGTCGGAAAAGGCCTTTCAGATCATCGAGTCCAACTGTTAACCCAGCACTGCCAAGGCCACCCCTAACCCATGTTCCTAAGCACCACATCCCATTTTTTGAACACTTCCACAGACAGTGATTCCACCACGTCCCTTGGCAGTCTGTGACAGTGCTTGACAGCCCTTCCAGTGAAATATTTTCCCCACTATCCAATCTAAACCTCCCCTGGTACAACTTGAGGCCCTTTCCTGTAGTCCTGTCCCTTGTCACTTGGGAGAAGAGACTGACCCCTACCTCTCTACACCCTTTTTTCAGGGAGTTGTAGAGTAATAAGGTCCTTCCCAAGCTTCCTTTTCTCCAGGCTAACGCCCCCCAGCTCTCTCAGCTGCTCCTCATAAGATGTGTGTCCCAGACCCTGCACCAGATGTACACCTGTACAGATGTTTGGCCACATACAGATGTGCAGCAAACGACTGAGCTGCAGCCCTAGAAAGGCTGTGTTGTGCACAGCAGGGCCGGTGGCACTGATAGCAAATCAAAGGCAGAAAAATCAAAGAGCCTACCAGTGTGGGATTGCTAAAACCAGCAGTTGGTCCAAGCCCAGGTGCTTCACAGCACCCTCAGCCTCTGGAAGGATTGTGGGGAGCACTCCATGCCCCAGGCTGGACTTGGCCACTCACAGACTGAGCATCTGCCACAGAAAAGGACCAGGAGGGGAGCAAAGCCTCCCTGGGCAACCCATGGAGAGCTTTCCCGATTCCCCTGTAGCCCAGAGCTCAGTGGTCCCTGGGCGGGGCTTTTCTCTGCCAAGCAAGTTGGGGAGATGGAGAGCGGGAGGTGAGGACAACAGTCCTATTTCTCCTGCCTTTATTCAAAAGGAAAACAATTTGAAAAATCGCTTTTCCCCTCCCCTCTGCCTATGGGTCGTTAAAAGCATTTGCAAACCTCCGTCAGCCCCCAGAATAAGGCGTTTTTCCCTCCTGCAGGGCGCCCGCCCCCTCCCCGCCCCGCGGAGCCAGGCACACATTAAATATTACTAGAGCCCCCTCTGGTGGCATTGCTGCGAGTCCCAGCGTCTGGGAAATTCACACTCAGACCCCTCAGCACAGCCAGCAAACGCAGCCGTGCAGAGGAAGCGGGATTTCCCACTTAACTGCGAGCTCATGGATCTGCATCCCCCCGTGTATCTCCATACAGACCTCTTCACTCACTGCAGAGAGGCTGACCCCCATCCCTGAGCCCACCGTGTCTGTAAATGAGTTTTGCAACAAAAAGGGAGCAGTCCCTCGGCTCCAGGGTTGGTTATTCATTGCACAGGGTTACTTAACTGGGAACGTGCTGCGATGACCTTCATAAGGCAGCCCCGCTTGCAGGCAGTGGCTCCCAGGACCTGGTGCTGGCAGGTTACAGGACACATCATCCCCTGGGGACCCCTTGGTGTCCCTGCCATACCTGCCCCAGGAGCATCAGGGCAGCTGGCTCGGTCCAGCAGCAGCCACAGCCCTTCCTGCCTGCCCAGCTCCTCGGGATGTCTTCCAGTGACTGTGCTTCTGCTCTTTGGTGGTTTGTCCCTGGTTTTGGGGAAGATGTGAGGCTGTTCTGGCCACCAGCACCACCATCCCTTCACAGATGCCACCAACCCCTTCTCCCGTGCCAGAATCACAGAATATCCCGAGTTGGAAGGGACCCACAAGGATCATTGAAGTCCAACTCCTGGCACTGCACAGGACAACCACAAAAATCACACCATGTGCCTGAGAGAATTGCCCAAAGGGTTTGTGAACTCTTCAGGCTTGGTGCTGTGACCACTTCCCTGAGGAGCATGTTCCAGTGCCCAACCACCCTCTGAGAGAAGAATATTTTCCTAATATCCAACCTAACCCCCCACTGAGCCGAGTTTAGCCCATGCTCCTCTCCATCATCCCAAGGGTTCAGGGACACAACCTCTGCACTCTCACCTGGTATATGACCACAAGCACCCTTTCTCTGCAGGCTGGTTTTCAGCTGGTGAGAAAAACAAGGTTAAATACTTTGTGCATAATTTTAAATATAATGTCTCAACTGTCAGTGTTTGCAGAGGTAATTTTCTGTTAGACAGGAGACAGATTTATAGGAATTAATTTTGTGTTGGCAAAGTAACCAGAAACCTTCCCTGAAAAGCTCTGCAAATGCCGGCATTGAGACATGACCGCTTTTTGTGCCTCTCTGCTGGGAGGAGGAGGGCCTGACCCCAGCCATTTTTGGGGAA